GGAATTTTGCTGTTAAGGTCTTAAGTCTAACCTGCAGTGCATCAGGCTGAGAAAGAAACTGGGGAGTCTTTCAGCATGTAAGTCTTTTAGAATCTCTACATTTACATATACTCAAGACTTTACTCATATGTGTGTTTGACTTACTTTGATCATATGCAGCTCCATACCAAGAGAAGGAACAGGTTAGCTCAAAGCAAATTGAATGACATGGTTTTTGTCAAGTACAATCGGGCTTTGCAGCTTCGGATGAAGAGAAACGATGCAAAGGATCCCATTTTGCTGAATGAAATTGATGATAGCAATGAATGGTTGATGGGAAAGATGGATGGGAACTCCTCCAACGATGATGAAAATGATGATTTCGTCCATGATGATGAGGACTTGACTTGGAGTGTGGTGAGTGAAGCAGTAGGAGCTGAAGAACCAAGCAACACTACTAGAGGAACAAAGACACCTCTTTCGGCAAAGGACAAAGGAAAAGGAAAAGCAAATTCTTCAACTCAGAAGAAACGGTATGGTCCATCACCTTCTCATCTCGAGTTGATTGATGAAGAAGATGACATTGAAGGCGAGGAAGGTGTTGGCTACGACAAAGATTTGGAGTTTGTGGATTCTGAATCTGAGTAGACCTTTGTCTACTACTGTTTTCATTTGCTTTTGAAGTTTTAATTTGGTGTTTTCAGTTATTTGGTATTTTCAGTTATGTTTTGCTATAAGAAACTTTGAATTTTATTATATGGATTTGGTTTTTTCACTTCTCTTGCATGATATATACATATAGATGGTCTAGAGCTTACTTTTGGTTGCATGATACATAAAGCGTGTGCTTTGTGGCGCCATGGCATAAAGCGCTAATCTCCTAGTTCCCCGCTTCGTCTCGCCATGTGCTTTCTCGAACCAAGCCGTCACTATAACGAATAAATTGTAAAAGAAACACAAGCGGAGAATTTAATTAATATTGTCTTTGTAGGATGTTGGAAAAATTGTATTGGAGAGCTATTCAAGAGTACTTGGAGGTCTAGCTTTAAACATACTTTCTTGGATTGATGATGTTCTTTATGCAGACAAAACAATGAAAGGTAGCGAATAATTTGTTATAGGTTTTCCCCCTTTACTTCTATGTTTCTTTTTTTCCTTCTTTTCTCATATGTGACCTGTAAATTGATTAATATCACTATCAATGTTATTTTTTTTGTATGACAAGGGAGTTTCTTTGATTGAGTTTAGCAGCAACAGATCCCGAGAACATGTGTAAATTGCGGTTGGTAAAAAAAAATTGGTTGACACTAAAGAGAGCAACGTAGAGAAGAAAGGAGGATTAGAGGCATAATTTGGAGAGTGAGAGTCTATTGATCTGTTTTGACTTATTTCAAGGTTCTACACAAATCATTAACCAATTCTCTTTTTTCAGCGTAAGTTTACTTGAACTGATTTACCTTCATCAACTGTCGAGAGTAGTCAGTATTGTCAACGGGAGAATTTTTGGTCTTATGGGTGATGCTTCCATCCGTAAAGTGATTCAACCATATGGCAGGTTCCACGTGCTCTGGACTTTGACGATGGAAATAACAGCTGTCGTGGAAAGCTAGAGAGTCACAAAAATAGCAGGACAAGAAAACCTGTAGATAAAGGAGTAGCTTTAAAACAAGAGGAAGTATTATATATATACCGAAATGAAGGCCGGTGGTGTTCTCTCCAGAGGCCAGACACATTGCCATATATGACTATTCAGTAAGCCCTTAAAAGACTCTTTTTTGTTTGTGAAAATGATGCTTTATGTATTTTGTTATTGTAAGAGGTATTATTGATTTGTAATTGTACTTTAGGCTTTAGATCAGTAGCAGGAGCGTGCTAAAGGAATTATATTTTACGAATTTATGGGTGTTATAGCTAGGATCATGAAATAAATATGTTGAACACATAGTTCAGACAGTTTTAAAGAAATGAGGTACGTGGAATGTTTTAGCATATGAACCATTGCCACAAACTTTGTTAATGTCTGGGTTTCTTAAAATTTAAATCGTCATTTAGATCTTTGTGTTTGTGTTGTAGACATTATGGCGCTCAAGGCTAGGTATTTGAGACTATGGTTCCTGTCGGTTTCTTTAATTGTCATTCCATGACCACAAATAAAAAATTATATAATCAGAGTGAGTTTGTGTATGAATATATAATCAGATTAGACTGAACATTTTCTCTTTTTTTGGCAGGAAAAGAGACCAATTGAGATACGCTTCGTTTTGCTCTCAGACTATCCGCAGTAGGGGAAAAATGATTCATTACGGTTTGGATTCTTGAGAAGGGTAAATAAGTTATATACTTTGAACTCTCTAGCTCTTCTCGGATCTATTATCCGTCCAACCCACATTGTGTCAATGTGGTGAAGATACGATGTATATCTCAATCATCTTTGGTGATGATGCTGTCCACATCAACAATGGAAAGCTTGCACCCCATGTATTGGCATCCGTGACAAAGATGACTGGAAATATTTCCAATGGAATCTAACCAGTGAACTTAAACTCAAGGCAGCTCCACATTGTGGACGTACCATGTGAGGATCTTATGAAGTAAGAACTATCGAATATGTCATACCAACTACTCCAGCTGCCGCAATCTGAATCACTGAGTGCTAGTATTACCCATTCCGTGTCATCTTAGGATGCCGACAATTTTGCCGACCACCTCATCATTGCTTTCAATTAATAGGATTTGGATTAATTCCTATTATAATTTCGTCATTTAGAACCTTTTGTTAATGATTTATTATTATGTGAATTCAATTGCCGCTAGAATTACTACGTCCAGTATGTTGTATATACCATACTTGCATTTGTAAGAAACCATACGAACATAATGATTGAGGGGGATTTTTATAACACTTCACGCCAATCAAAACTCTCGCAGACAATAAGATGACTCAGACAAATGAGGTATTATTTCCGGAACCGATGCAGTAAAAACTGAAACAAACAAATCAGGAGTCATAGAGCATGTGCAATCCCAATAACCTTCAAAATGGTTCTTACGTTTTCTTTTCTCTGATTTTAAAAAAAAAAGAAAAAAAAAACTAACTAATCACGGGTCCCACAGTACAAGAATTTTTTAAGAACTGATTCTTGCATAAGAGCTAAGAAGTGGATTTTAGTTTTTTGCGGGGTCTACACCAGAGAAGAACCCCATAAGAACCCGGGTTGCACATGCTCTTAGTGATATCTGATAAGTAACCATCTCTATTGGAGCTTTGAAGAGTTACAGGTTCGATGAGCCAAAATCCATACTGTCAATGCACATATTTGTCAATGTTTAAATAAACATGAACAATTGGAGACCTAAAGCTCAAGACGAATGTGGCTTCAACCAATTTTTCAGTTGAATTTTGTATGTTCTAATTTTTTCGTGTACGTGATTTCAGTTTTACTGGTTACTAACTATGCACGAACTAAGTATTGAAGCTTCATCTCACTTCCTAAGAAAATGCATTACTTTTTTTTTTGTTAAAGTGTCTCTTTTTGAATGCCTTCATGATTTGTATTTGCATCCGTTAAAACTTGAATCTGTGTTTGTTTGATCAGATCTTATCAAAGAAAATGCATTACTTATCCCAACATTATGTGCAGAACCACAAACATATTATTTCTATAATTCTATGACAGTATTAATAACCATAGTGAATAAAATTTATTTAGATGAAAATCTAAATATATAAGATAAGTTTTTGGACCATTATTAAGGTTTAAATTTAGAAAAAAAAACATTTGCATTCTCGCTCACCAACACATATGTACTTTTTGATATTTCAAGACAACAAATTATAAATTTCAATCATTTAAAATATAATTGATGACTTAATTATTTAGTGAACATAAAATGTGTGTATATAATATTAATTGAAAATATATTTTCTTAAATCCGGGCGTAGCCCGGAAAAATCTCTAGTTATGTTTTAAGAGTTTGAAATTATGGAATTGTAGTGATTCTTGATAGTGTGATGTATAATTGTAAGATTGGACTTGAAAAATATAGACCAACCTTTTAAGGTTTAACCTTAACTTTTGTTGATAGTCATTGCATAGCAAACTCATATAAGAAATTAACGTCATTCCAATTTGAAAGGTCATCTTGCATATGTTGATATGAGATTTATGCTAGGAAAAAAAATCTTTTTTTTTTTTCCATATAACTTCCGGTGAGGATTTATACTTCAGTAATCATGTTGTGTAGGTCAAATTATTAGCAAAGTCTTTCTCTTTAATTTTAATTCTTTAGTAGTGTGACCTACAACATTCCATTTCAAAGTCATTTTTTTTCTTTAAATTTTGTAGTATCATGATCTACAATAGTATGACCAATTATATATATATATATATATATATATATGTCGATAATAAAAAACACACATAAGCATAATAGTCATATTACCCATTAAACTTACATAAATCAGCATGTACAAACGCTTAAATATAATTGTAGTAGTACGTGACTAATGTACGAAAATATGATGATAATATATTTAAATAGAAAAATTAACATCACTTTAATGTGAAAATAAGTCACATATTATTTCATCTACATGTGATATCCAAAAAAGAGTAGATCACGCGAAGATGTGAATGAAACTTATTACATAAAATGTGGTTCTTCAGAGTTATTAATAAACATGATCGCGACACTTGATAATTATATGTTTAATATTGTCACATGTGTGCATCTGTCTCATAATTAAAAATATATATATTAAAATAATAACAAAAATAATTTTTTTAAAAAAATAATTATAATTATTATCTAATAGTATTTTTTTCCAATTTGTAAATAGTTGTAAATAGAAAATTACTAGAATGTGTTGAAATTGTTGGCGGTTCTGTGTAATGGCAACATATCAAAACCATTGACCATGTAGAAAAGAGGAATACAAAACAATCTCAAAAACAAAAATGTAAACACTACGAAAAAAATAAAAGTGCCAGAAGGTTATTTGGGTATTATAAATATTATACAAAAATGTAGCAGCCATCAGATTCATATGGGTATTGTGTAATTTATAATTATTGTAGGATATACAATGCAATTCCTCATATATAAAGTTCAAAAAAAAAAAAAAAAATCAACAATTGGAATATAGGAGAATTCAAACCTATCATAATTAAAGAAAGAAAATCATCAAACTATATATTAAACTTATTACAAATCGGAACATGTATCAATCGCACTTGCGTGTAAAAGAGATATGCTTGAGACAAACAGCTTCAAAAGTGCTGAGAGAGCCAACCTTTTCCATCAGATTGTTGATGACAGTTTGGTTGCAGAGACAACTCTGGTAGAGAGAGCAGCAAGTCGGGCCTAAAATCTTAAAGTCGATCCCGTTTTTGAAAACATCAACGCACCCGAAGAGCTTGCTAGTGTCTTCTGGACAGTTCGCCATGGTCACGGTGAAAAAGAGGACGTTGAATGTCAAGAAAGTGATAAGAGAGGCTGAGACCTCTGAAGACATTTTTCGAAATATATAAATATCTAGTTGAGTAAGAAGTTTTCAGATAGAGAGGTGTTGTTTTACTGGTGAAGAAAAATGAAGAGAGAACGTGCTGTATATATAGAGATGAAGATTTTAACTTTCGGGGATAGGATCATATATATCAGTTAAATTAATGGGCACTAAATTAATACACAACTCATCAAAAATATGCACAGCTCATCAAAAAGATATGCACAACTAATCAAAATTTCTATATTAATAAAAATTTTGATTTTCATATTCGATGGTTGACTTATACTTTTATATCATATATATGTTGGAGTTGTATTTATAAATAATGAATTTTTCAGAATAATTAAATCACTGGAGAAGTTAAACTATTTATTGTAATCTTTATTCAAAAACTTGGATTATGCGTGTGTGGCATTTTACTGAGACTCAAGAAACCTAAACAGAGACTGCAAAATCTCGAACGAAAACTTAACGAAAATTCTTAAGATTTGCATCCGAAAATTTTTCTATCCAAAATATTTGCATCCAAATGAAGTTAGAAGTTAGAACTAACCCGAACTGACATGGACGTTGGGTACAATCAGTTCAGAAATTCTCATGTCACCGCAGTCAAAGGGCGCTGGGCCAATAGGGATGATGACCCAGTAATCGAGAGCCAAGGGTTCTGCCACACCTTGATTATCTAATTTTTCAAAAAGGTTGTGAAGTAATATGGTAATAGTTTTGATTATTTGACATGGACATATTAGGTAAAATCAGTTCAGAAACTCTCATGTCACTGCCATCAAAGGGTGCTGGGCCAATAGGGGTCGATGGCGCAATAATCGAGAGTCAAGGGTTCTGCCACACCTTGATTATCTAATTTTTCAAAAAGATTGTGAAGTTATATGGTAATAGTTTTGATTATTTGACATGGACATATTAGGTAAAATCAGTTCAGAAACTCTCATGTCACCGCCATCAAAGGGCGCTGGCCCAATAGGGATTGATGGCGCAGTAATCGAGAGCCAAGGGTTCTGCACAATTTGATTATCTAATTTTTCAAAAAGGTTGTGAAGTTATATGGTAATAGTTTTGATTATTTGACATGGACATATTAGGTAAAATCAGTTCAGAAACTCTCATGTCACCGCCATCAAAGGGCGCTGGGCCAATAAGGATCGATGGCGTAGTAATCGAGAGCCAAGGATTCTGGCACACCTTGATTATCAAATTTTTCAAAAAGTTGTGAAGTTATATGGTAATAGTTTTGATTATTGACATGGACATATTAGGTAAAATCAGTTCAGAAACTCTCATGTCACCGCTATCAAAAGGCGCTGGGCCAATAGGGATCGATGGCGCAGTAATCGAGAGCCAAGGATTCTGCCACACCTTAATTATCTAATTTTTCAAAAAGGTTGTGAAGTTATATGGTAATAGTTTCGATTATTTGCTTAGACTACGATGGAAAAATTATTCAACATCCTAAATTGTAGTCCATCTATTCCTAAAAGATCCATATTCTAGATTTAATGTTTAAATGTTTATTAGTATTTATTGGTTCATTAAGTAAACTAAAATTTGTTAAATATAATAAATATAAAAACAACATTAAAAGAATGTGACACATGGCATTTTTCCCTCTAAGGAGTGAAAAAGTCAACTTTATTATATAAGATTTATTTTAATAAGATCTAAAAATTAAAGGCAATCCTTGAACGAATTAATACAAATTACTAAATAATACAAGTAATATTACAAATAATGATTTATGGTAACGAATTGTAGAATTAGAGAAAGAATATATGTGTTTTATCAGTTTCTTTATTTTTATCAGTTATTTCTATATATTTAAATAAAATAATTTAACATTTTTTATTATATTTTTATATAAAAATTTGATTTGTAGGTAATAAATTATTAAAACTTTTATGTTTTTTAAAACCCACACAATAATGTTTACAAAAGATCCATCATAAAATCCTCCAATCATAGTATTGGTTCTATTGGAACTACAAAAAATACTTTTTTCTTCTTTTAAAAGCTAGAGTATTTCCGGTTTTTCATGTGTTAGAATAAAATATAAAATAATCCTACAACTAATTATCTGAATTAATTATAATATTTCTTTTCTCTAAGGTTTAATGACTAAGGTTTATATTGTTGAACTATTTTAAATCTCACAGAACTTCTAAAAAAATAAACTGTCATTTTTGATTATCCAAATTTTGAAATTTAAAATTTAAATTTTCTAATTATTATTCAAAATTATAACAGTGTAAACATAATCTATTTTTTTCATATAATATAATTATCCACAAAATAGCGGGCAAACACTTAGTATTAATTGAGAAGTCATTTAAGTAATTTTTGCTTAGGTGTCACTCATAGATGAAATTTAAAATTAATTTTTTTAATTTGATTAGTTGATGGTATTTCAGTTTTAATTTATTTAATTAAAGTTTTTAAAAAGAAACCAATCCTTGAATTATCTTATCTAATCTATATTGCTAAAAGACAATTAAACACATTTAATATAAAATGACTTAACATAATTTATTTATAGAAATAATTAAACATCAATATATTATATAATTTATAATATACATGTAAATACATATGATACTGCTAGAAAATTATATAAATATTTTGAAATATATATATATATATATATATATTAGTAGTGTATACAATAAATCATAGATAACAGAAAATTAAATAATCAAAATCTAATAATATTTCAACTCACTATATATTAATTTAGAAGTTACTTAAATGACTTTTTCCTAGATGTCACCCGTAGATGAAGTTTAGAATTAATTCTTTTAATTTGATTGCTTGATGATATTTTAGTTTTATTTATTTAATTAAAATTTTAAAATTAACTAATCCTAAAATTACCTTATCTAATTTATGTTATCAAACAAACGATTAAACATCTTTCCAATAGATGACTTAAACATAATTATTTATAGAAACAATTAAACATCATAGATAACATTATATAGTTTATAATATACATATAAATACATATGATACTATAGAAACATTTATACAAACAGTTTGAAATATATGTATATTAGTAATGGAAAAAATAAATCATAAATAGCAGAAAATTAAAAAAAATCCAAATCTAATAATATTTCAACTCACTGAATACCAAGACAGACAAACTAACACATAGTGCCAAAAAGCATTCATTTTCTGTTGTTCATATGGACATCAAGTTATCAATTTAGTGTGCAGACTAGATAGTAGTATCTGAAAATTAAATTAGAATTCTTCCACACTCTTGTTCTCTTATTAAATTTTAATTCATTAGAAACCGATTGAGCATATGCAGTGGATAAAATTATAGAGACGTAAAAGAAATCTCTCCATGTTTTGTATTAATATTAGTTAGTGATTTTATTTAAATAATGAATTAGTATTAACTATTACTAGATTTTGACCCGCGCAACCGCTCGGGTGTTTATTTTCGTTTATAGTTAGTTATATAAACATTTTGTTTTCACTTGTAAATTGGTATATATTATAGTAATCACATATTTACGATATGTATAGTAAATGTTTTTCAAACATAATAATATTATATAATAAGTGTTTTAATCAAATAGATTGTTTCAAATTTTCTATATTATACATGTTTTTCAAACATGTGTTTTTTTTTTCTTCTATATTTTATTGTTTTTTAGATTAGTATTTCATTTTTAGATAAAATAATATAAATAGCTTGATTAAATATTAGTATACTTTAATTTGCAAAGATAATATAAACTTCGAAGAAATTTTTGCTAAAAACTAAACTTATAGCTTCATAAATTAATATTATAAAGAATTTTATTAAAAAGAATTTTTATCAATTTCTTTTTTTTTAAGCAATATAGTTTTAAAAATTTATATCGAAATAAATTTATCTAATATATATAGCGTGTAAATTTTGTTAGGGTATATAAATATTCCATATTACTAATCTGTGATTTTTGTTAATATATTGTGGATGCATTTAACTATTATTGACATATTTCCTTATAAATAATAGAATATTCCTAAACTTAGTATATCTATTGACATATTTTGCGTGACTAAGTTGGAAGATGTGGGGATAATTTACCAAAACTAAATTGTTAAGCGTATCTTTGTTATTATAGATATGATTTTTCATAAGATATAATAATGATAAGATTATTAGAGAGTTAATGTAACATAACTTTCTAAAAATAGTCCATTTTTAGAAAAATCACACATGAAGTCAAGTCATGACTTCTGTTTTAATATATAAGACTAGATTTTGATCCGCGCAACCGCGCGGATGTTTGTTTTCTTTTATAGTTAGTTATATAAACATTTTGTTTTCACTTGTAAATTGGTATATATTATAGCAATCACATATTTACGATATCTATAGTAAATGTTTTTCAAACATAATAATATTATATAATAAGTGTTTTAATCAAATAGATTGTTTCAAATTTTCTATATTATACATGTTTTTGAAACATGTGTTTGTTTCTTCTTCTATATTTTATTATTTGTTAGATTAGTATTTCATTTTTAGATAAAGTAATATAAATAGAGCTTGATTAAATATTAGTATACTTTAATTTGTAAAGATAATATAAACTTTGAAGAATTTTTTGATAAAAACTAAACTTATAGCTTCATAAATTAATATTATAAGGAATTTTATTAAAAAAGAATTTTTTAAACAATTTCTTTTTTTTTTAAACAATATAATTTTTAAAATTTACATCGAAATAAATTTATCTAATATATATAGCGTGTAAATTTTGTTAGGGTATATAAATATTTCATATTACTAATCTGTGATTTTTGTTAATATATTGTGGATGCATTTAACTATTATTGACATATTTCCTTATAAATAATAGAAGATTCCTAAATTTATATCTATTGACATATTTTGCGTGATTAAGTTGGAAGGTGTGGGGGTAATTTACCAAAACCAAATTGTTAAGTGTATCTTTGTTATTATAGATATGATTTTTCATAAGATATAATAGTGATAAGATTATTACAGAGTTAATGTAACATAACTTTCTAGTAATAGTCTATTTTAAAAAAAAATCACACATGAAGTCAAGTCATGACTTATGTTTTAATATATAAGATTAGAATGACACACTGACACACGACCAAAAAGTTTTTTTTTTGTCAACCGCCCATCTAAACTAGCTAGATCAAGTGGTGGTCAGACGAACCGATTCTCCAAGGAGCATCTTCTTCTGACCGGATATGATCTATATGAGAAATGATATAGCCTTTGATTCTTGCTTCTTTTGCTAGTGCGTCCGGTCGACCATTCATATTCTGAGGAATATGAGACAAGCTCACATAAATTCTTTTCTGCACAAATAGATTCTCACCTTTATTATGTGTCTCTACTCCCTTATTAATTATTTTAATTGCTTTTAATATGAGAGACTAGGAGAAAGACCTCCATTAATCATGCCCTGGAGTTGCTGTTACTGTAACTTTAGTATGTATCTAAATATTGTTGCGCAATTGATGTGTACTTGCAGTGTCTATTTTGTGGTTGAAACATGATAATCTACCGCTCTACCTCTTAAAACAACACTCCATATCCATTCAATTACATTACATCTTTAACATAATACGACTTATTACTCCACTCCCATGATAAAATATTACTATGCAGAAACTGAAGTATTTTTAGTTTATCACGTGACAGTTTTTCCTGATCTCACCATTGACTCCAGTAAGAGGCTGAATGTTGCCCATGTTTACCATCGACTTCGCGAATTGTTCGAAGAAAAGGCCCTCATCGTCTGCATAAGCTTTCACCAATTCAACAATCTTACCTACGTTTCCAGTGAGAAGCACTTGGTCTGATGTCAATAAGCCTTTTCCCCAGAGGATAAGCTTGAAGTATGTGTTGTCGAATCTAGCAGGAGAGGCTAAGTCTAGTGGGGAAATATTGTTATCGCCACCAGTTGGTGGACAGATGGATCTCAGACCATAGTAGTAAGACCTCTCTAGCGTCTCGTCTGGTTGGTTGTTACCATTTTGATTGTAGAGTCTTTGTTTGAACGTTGTGCACCTTGCTACTCCAATAGTATGCCCTCCTGTAAAGACACACACAATCCCAATTTGTTCGGTTTTTATGAACAAAGTTAATGAACCCATCTCAAATTTTTGATTATCTTTACTTAATAAATGTTTTTTTATATATATTTTCACATATTTTGGTTCATAATTTATATAACTAGTGTTAGTCCATTAACCAATTTAAAATAATATGGCTGAAACTATAATATTGGTATAAAAATGCACTGAAAACAGAAAAAAGACACTCTTTATGAAAAAAAGAACTACCAAGATCGAAATATATATAACAAAGGAAAAATGGATGTTATTAAGCTCACCTGATAGAGAAACAAGGTCTTCTTGGTTCAAACCTTTGCGTTGGAACATGGTTAAAAGATTTTGTATAGTTGAGTTAGGTGCAGGAATGTTCGTGTTTGCTCCATTAAGGCTCGCTGTCGTCGAGTCTCTCCTCCCTAGTGGAAGCTCCCATGATGGTCCACCACTCTGTATTGAGCCACACATTCAGAAAATCAGAGGTTCTTTAGCTTGTAACCAATAGTTTTCCCTTGACGGTCTTTATTTACCAGTATAGTTGAGCCACGAGCTGCAAGAGCTAGAATGTCGGCACAAGAGACAATTTGAGGGCAAACTTGCTCCAGTTTGGCTTTGATCTCGTCTATTACTTCAAACCCTTTAATAGAGTTCTTGTTTGGTCCTGCATTCTTTTCACTTCTTATGGTAGCACTATCATCCAACAAGATTGATGCATCACAGCCCTGTTTACACAAGAGTGTTGTATAAAGCTTTATGAGACATTAATAAATGGAAAACAAAAACAGGCCAGACATTTTATATACAGAACCTGGACGAAGCAGTCATGGAAGTGAAGCCTCAGTAAAGATGCTGCCATTCTTGGGTTTCTAGCTATGGCTTTTTCGAGTACCGTCATGACAATTTCATCAGCTTGTGGGCATGAGAATTGGTAGAATTGTGGGAAAAGACCAGAGGAGAAAGTTCTTCCAATATTGGGGCCATTACTTCCCCATCCGAACCCAAAACCTGGATGAGCAACACCAACATCAAAAGAAAACAAAGCAAAGAGCACAAGACAAGGAATAAGCTTAAACATAGCCATTTTTGGTATCTTTAGAGTTCTGTAGAAAGTGGAGGTGCTGTTGGGGTTTTATACTCGAAAGAGATTCATCAAAAGTCCAACTGCTCCATGTTTACCAAATCCGAATTTAGAATCTTTAGAGAAATAGAGAGATATGGTCAACTTGTCCTTAAACCTCCTCTTTGTCTTTTTGAAGTTTTCTACCAACTCTGAGAACGAATCCATGTGCCTACACTCACATATGATCTCATTGTACCACAGTATTAGGTAACACGTTCAACCAAAGCTTCTGCACTCGGCAAGAAGCGTTTTCATGATTTGTATGAGAGTTGGAAGATTGAAAATGGTGAGTGAACTGCTACATTGATTAACAACTCAGACCAAATCATTTGTTTTCTTCATATAATTGATTATTTACCAAGTAGCGCAGAACACAAGTGTTTTGCTTTGTGTCCTTAATCAAGTTATATCCCCTCTGCATCTAAGTCCTTTTGGTCACAAAACAATAAGAAAGCAATGCAAAATGTATACGGAGCTTTTGGGACGCAAAATTACCAAATTTCAAGGGAGGTTTTATGTCTTGTTAACTTTTAAACTTCAACTCAAGAAAATATAGAGTTTGGTCCAAAGCTTACACATAAGAAAAACAAAAACTAACATCTTGTTCCTTTTAAGATACTGATTGATTACTTGCCCAAACTAAGCCATGTGTTGAGAATCTGATTGCTGCCAAACAGAAAGGTGTATCGGCAGATCAAAAGCAACCACCATGTTCTGTAACATCGTCACTCGCTTTTCTTGGATCCAAGGGCGGTTTCAGAAGAGGATGCCTCTGTAACTGTAATTCCAGCAGAGTACTTTTTGACCCTCATTGTAATGAGAACACTTGAGAGTACTCCTAGAAGAGGGAAGACATAACCCCAGACCTGGGTTTTTGATTTTCCGGCTACTGAAGAAACAGCCATACCAGCGAGGCTACCAACAGAAGCGTTCTGCAAGATCATAGGGAGACAACCAATAACGGTGGGGAGGATAAAATCAGCAAGGAAACGGACTTGCGTGGCTGCTAAGGCGTAGTTGATGACATAGGAAGGGATGGGCGAGAACCTTGCAAGTAGAACAAACTTCCAACCATCTCGCTCAACTCCTCTTGAGAGAATAGTGAAGTACTTGTTATTATGTGCCCACGCCGTTGCTTTCCTTGAACTCTTGAAAACTAACCTGATTAAAAAAAAAACATGTTTAAGAAAAATAATTCAAATGGAATCTCCATCTTCTTATTATTCAGACAACACTAGATAGATAAATAATAATAATCTGAAGAAAAGCAAACAAATGGAAAATCAAGAGAAAGAGACCTGCCGATCCAGAAGGAGAAGGAAGCGGCGAGAACTTTGGCGGAGAAGACACAGAGAAGAGCAGGGAGGAAACCGAAGAGCATAGAAGCGCCCGCTTCAAAGAAGACGGCGTGAGGAAGGCATAGAGCTAAGGTTACCGTGTGAACCGCTACATACGTCGGAATCGCCCAAATCCCCAGCCGATCCGACCATTCTTTCAATGCTTCCAACGCCGCTTCCTTGCTCCATCCCTTCCCTTGCCTCGCGATTACGCCCACTATCGCCACCGTCGCACCGATCAGAATCCATTTCTTCATACTGGAGATCGGACCAAGAAAAGCGTGAAATGGGATCTATCTCGCGAGTCTTATACGTAAATACGCCATTTTGATGAAAGAAACAATTATTTTATGATTTTGTGTTTATTTTTCGGATAAGAGTCTATTTATTTTAACAGTGGGTTCGTATGTATTATTATTCTTTATGATTTTAAATTTATTTTATGGCCTTAGTAAATAAAATATTTTCAAAATATAAAGATGAAATATATTAAAAGAGAATGATAATTTTTTTTCAATCCATTGATAGTGTGATTAACGATTGTAGTGCATTACTTTATTTCAAGTTACTTAGATGAAAGAAGAATATCATAAGTGTTTTAACTGATCGATTCAATAAAAAATAAAATAAATAACTGATAGTTATAATAAATTTAATGTAATTACATTAAACATAAAGTAAAATTGATGTTGAAAAAGAAAAAAATGTAAATACAGATGTTTATTTTTGTGATTATCTTGTTTGAAAGAAGATAATAATTATTTTATCCTCTAAATCCTCGTATATTTTGTCCATGATGTGACAATATGGTTGCACTCTTTCTTGTGACCATATTAGTAGGAGTGAGCACGAATCGGATATCCGGATTTTTAAAGGTATTTGTGATTTGTTTCGCATGTTATGAATATCTAATTTTGGTATTTGTTTTTGGAACAATACGTATATCCAGAAAAACGGAGATCCGAAAAATAAATAGATATTTACGGATATTTACGAATACTTACGGATATCTCATCCGCTTGGATTTATACAAATAATCTTAAGAACTTGATAGAAATTTATTTTAAAATATTTTTATATGATATATAAAATAAAATTTTAAAGAAATAGTGAATTTACATATTTCGAATTTTTTTTTAAGTTTAAGTTAAATATTATAATAACACAAAACTTAAGAAAAAAATAATTTTCATAAATTTTTCTCTTCTTTTTATGTAGTACTTCTATATAAGTAATTATATGAATATAATTGGTCAAATAATATGTTTGAATAATAATTATATAATTTTATACATTTAAAATTTTAAATATAATCAAGATATATATGTGTTTATAAATTTATGGATCAGATCGGATATCCGCTATCCAAAATTTTAATATTTGTGATTTGCTTCGATTTTAACGGATATTGATTTTTAGTATTTGCTTTGATTCGAAAGTTTACGGATATCCAGAATTTACGGAACAAATCGAAACGGATAACGAATCAAATCAAAATTAATGGATAAAATGACCAACCCTACATATTAGTTAACTACCTTATCTTCAAAGGGATTTTGAATCCAGTTAGTGTATTCTTAATCATGTTCCAACATTAATCGGATTTTAATTAACTAATTTTGTCAAGATAGTTTATTCAAATATTCATCCCCTCTTCAAAATTGTGTATACACAATATTAATATATTATAAAGATATCTCCTATATATTAATTGAGAAGCATTACAACATGTTTTGGTAGCCACATATCATCATGACAATGCTTCTCAAATTTACTACAGAAAAATGTTGGTCCGTATAAATATATAATATAATTTTTGTTAAACTAAGCATAAAAATATTATTAATGCTAATCATTATTTTCTTAAATAAAATTTACGGAATTACCTAATATGGTTATAATATATATAACAATTAATGATTTGAATATGAAAGATTTGATAAAAGATTGTATAGCTTCTACTCTTTTTATTAAATTTATATTATGAAAATAAATTAAAAATAACATTAACTATATAACAAATAAAATAGATTATTTAGTAGATGATAAAAGAAGAGAAATTGGAATGAATAGCCATGAAATAAAACATAATTAGGTATCTAGCTTAAAAAAAAACACCCACCATTATTACTATAATATATACTATATTACCCCTACTTACCAGTTACGTGCCGGTTAATAATTGTAGACGTCTCTTCTTTATTTACCTACCACTCATATGTACAGTAAGTTCTCAATTATACTATGTTATTTGAATAAATGTATTTACTATTTCGTTGCTACAATTCTATTTTATAATAATGATTCATATTATATAGGATATATATATATTTTGATATTTAGGTTATAGATTATATTTATATTTAGGGTTTAGTGATAAGTGTTTTTAGTTTAGTTTATGGAAGATTTGGATTGATGTTAAAGTAACTATTACATCATTATCTGCAATCAAACATTTTAAAATTTAAACAATATATACTATGTTATTTCGTTTGTTACTATTCTATTTTGATAATGTTCCATATTATACACTATGTACATATTTTGATATTTGGGTTAGGGTTTATATTTCTTGTTAGGGTTTAGGGTTTAGTGATTAGTGTTTTGGGTTTAATTTATGAAAGATTTGAGTTGATGTTAAAGTAACTATTACATCATTCTTTGCAATAAGACATTTTAAAACTAGAACAATATATATTATGCTATTTTGTTTGCTACTATTCTATTTTGACAATGTTCCATATTATGTACTGTATACATATTTTGATATTTAGGTTAAGGTTTATATTTCTTGTTAGGGTTTAGTGATTAGTGTTTTGGGTGTTATTTATAGAAGATTTGAGTTGATGTTAAAGTAATTATTACATCATTCTTTGCAATCAGACATTTTAAAACTAGAACAATATATATTATGCTATTTTGTTTGCTACTATTCTATTTTGACAATGTTCCATATTATGTACTATGTACATATAGTACATATTTTGATATTTGAGTTAGGGTTTATATTTCTTGTTAAGGTTTAGAATTTAGTCATTAGTGTTTTGGATTTAGTTTAAAGAGGTTTGGATTGATATTGAAGTAAGCATTATCTCTTTTTATGCAATTATAGACATTTCAAAATTTGAATTATATGTAGTATACTATTTGTTTGTTACTATTTTATTATGAACTATACCATTTAACATGTTCTATTCTATTTATATAGTACTATTAGTATCAACGTGGATATTATAATCACCACAAGTCTAGTAACGTCTCTTTCATTTAAGTGACATAGTCTTACTGTCGACCGGTTTTAGAAAAGGAGAAAACTGGAAAGAAACGGGAAAAATGCTAGGAGATCAAATTATATCTACATCAATGCTATATTCTTAATTTTATTCTTAAAATTGGTTATCTCACAAATTAACCCATAAAAGACCGATGAAAAAAAAAATGATGAAACAAGTATACGACAAATAATATGATTTTTAGTGTTTTAATTTAAAAACATTTTAAAAGCTTGGAAGATGAGATGAGAGACGAGAGTATAATAATAAGTGGCGGAGAGAGGAGGTTTTAAGCAAAGAGAAGGAGGAGAATGCTGGTTCTTCGCGCTCCCACCGGACCTGTCTCAGCCGTCAGATTCATCACCAAACCCAACAACCCTCGTCTTCCTTGGGCCCCGGCGAACACTCGCCCTCGGAGACGCGTCGTCCTCACTCTCTCTAACCCTGACTCAAACGGAAACGGAAACGGAAGCGTCAAATCCGCCACACGTCCCCAAGTCCCATCTTCAGTAGGAGACGACACAGTCTTCGTCGCTCAAGAGAACGTTCCTCTCGAAGGCGTTATTCAATTCGATAAACCAAAATCCAATGCTTCAATCAAGAAATGGGGGTAAAGCTTTTTTTGCTTCTTCTTATTTTTTTTTTAATTTTGTTTTCGTGAATCCTCTTTCTTTTCTTTCTTCAGCCGTGTGGCGTTACTTGCTGGTGGAGATGTTTTGGCTTTGCTTATCTTCTCTGCAATTGGAAGATTCAGCCATGGATTCCCTGTGCTTAGCTTAGATACTCTCCACACAGCTGACCCTTTCATTGCTGGTAATGGTCTTTCCTGACTTCTTGTTTGAGAATCTTTTTGGTTGAGAAAATGGAATTGGCAGGATGGTTTTTGAGTGCTTATTTCCTGGGAGGATATGGGGAGGAAGGGAGAGGAATGAAAGGTCAGTCCAAAGCTGTGCTAGCTGCAGCTAAATCTTGGGCCCTCGGTGTTCCGGTAATAAAGCTTCATTTAGCAATCTAGCCATCTCTTTTGATCTATATTTGCTTGAAAATAAAGCTTTTTATGTTTTATTATCTATAATTCTTCTCAAGTAGCTTTGTTCTATGTCAGTTGATGCAGCTTTGGGATGTCATCTCTTAACTACCTTTTCATGTCTCTACTAAACTGTTTTACCATTAACCAATATGAATCTTTTGCCTATATTTGGTTCAAACATGAGGTCTGCTATTTGTATAAATTTGTAGTGATATGTGTCTATGTTTTGTTAATTTTTTTTTGAAACATGCTCTTGGTTTCGTAGATGATTTGTATATCTCTGGATCAGATTCAAGTAATGAAGTTTATGTTTTTTTTAATCTGTCCATTGTTTTGTAGATATTCTTTTTTCTTCTGTCAACTGGCATATGTAGTTTTAGGATGTTAGTGTCTATGTTAACTTTATGTTAATGATGTGTTCCGCTAAACTGTTTAAGCTTCTTCATCTTTACAGCTTGGGGTGATTATTAGGTCAACCTCATCAGGCCACATCCCATCTTATAGCTTTATCTTGGTGACAATGGGAAGTACTGCTGTTTTACTTATTGGGTGGAGAGCACTATTATTCAATGTCCTTCCTTCAGAGTCAAAGAAGAAAGATGATACATATCGAAAAGGCAGCGCATTCGAATTGTTTGAGGTATAAAAAATGTATTTTTCTAATTTTGAAAAGCTAACATCATCCTTTAATTTTTGGTTTTTTTACCAGATTGCATTTGTTAGTTATCATACATTTGGTTGATATTTATCCAGCTTCACCATCTGTTCTAAGGTGGTATTGATGAGGCTTCGTGTATGTTGTTGCAGTTGCTTACTTCGTTAATAAGACGGTGGTGATGGAGCTTCGCATCCATGAACGTTCGGGCAGATGGAAGCTGATATTCCATATAAATATATCTCATCCTGTCACCAGAGGATAGATTCCAGGACCAACTTTTATATATAGTTGCAGGGAGGGATATGATTACTTCATATTGCTCTCAAGCAAATACTCGAAAAGAACCAGTTAAGCAAACCAAAATGTCAAACAATAGTGTGATGGAATCAATTGGCAAGTAAACAACTATTGAGAATTTGAAATAATCTGAGAAAAATGAAACACTGAAAATGTAAAATTATTACAAGCAAAAGTTATTTAAAGAAAAGCGATTGCTGATATGAGCTTTTAGACTCTAAGGCGGTTGCCAAACTACGGCTACCATCCTTCGGACGTTTCTCAAACTTTGTATTTCACATACGTCAGAGTACCCAGATAACCTCAGACACAAATACGCGTGGGTCCTATGGCATACTTGGAAGGCTAAAAGCTCAATGAATATTCAGAAAATCAAATTAGCTCCACCTGCAATTCTCAAAAAAAAAGCAGAGGATGCAACGATCTGGTTCGATATCAGCTTCCCTGATCAGGCTACTTCCACTGTTGCGAGTGAAGTGCTAGTACACGGAAGATCCTGGATGCCCCACCAACTGGTTTGCTCAAGTGTATATAATAAGTACATCGTGGGCTATGTGAATTATGGAGCCTTATGGATTTTACGAGGTGGTCATCATCGTTCATTCTTGCTCGAGAATGCTTTCGTTCGTTTCTCGAATTTTCACGTCCTTCAAATGATATTGTTGCAAAGCTGCAACAATTGCGAGTTTTGAGCCTAGACTACGTGGTGCGGGCAAGAAACTCTTACTCAGAAGATTGCACAATGTAACAACTGTTCATCGATACCAATCCTACATTGCAACCCAGATAGCTCGCTGCTGTTTTTATGAACCACACCACCAAAGGTTATTCATGCCTATTACCTACTGGTATGGGTTTGAATGTTGTTTTCACATTTGGTACTTTTTGCCGTGATGGCTTAATGATAAAATCAGTGTTTACAAAAATAAATAGAGCAAACAGATAATAAACGCTTTCGATCCCCGTCTTCCTTGGTACATTATATCCAATTATTAAAGAAACGAAATAGAAAAGAACAATATCACTACAGTGCGTAAAGATGAATCATTGGGAGTAAAAGTCTCTGTAAAAGAACTAGAAAGAAATGTTATTACCACTTCTCAGCGATTAAAGTCTGATTTCACCATCTTCCCCAACCTCCCCATCCTCTAACTCATCATTACCACCTCGACGACTACTCTCACGCTGCTCTTTCTTCTGTCTTTTATGCCGACTTTCACTGTCTGATTCTGGCGAGTTTGCATGCTGCCAATAAAACCATCCCCCCTAATATTTTAAACACCTTGCCAAATCTGAAGCTTAGCTAAGTAACAACTTAAGTCAAGAAAGAAGTACCTTTCTTGATTTTTTGCGATCACTGCCATGTTTACGGGATGATGACTTCTTCGACTCTTCTCTGTCATCCTTATCAGAACTGACATCATCATCAGAATTGTGATGGCGTCTCCTATGTTTTCTGTCTCGATCTTTGCCTTTTCTTTTCTCCTCTTTGTGACCTTCACTCACATCTACAGCCTCACCATCTGATTCCTCCCTTTTGCTACTCCTCTCTTTTTCTCGTTCTCTTTCCTTTTCCCTTCTCTCCTTCTCCTTGTCTTTCCGCTTCTCTTTCTCCTCCCTATCCTTCTCTTTCCTACTCTGAAACTTCCACAACAGTAAAAAATCTTAGACACCTGAATTCAACATAAAAGATTATAATAATTTTCCATTACCTTTTCCTCATCACGCTTACGCTCCTTCTCCTTTGCCTTTTCCTGTAAACTCGCTATGTACTCCTCAAAAAGCCCTCTGCTAACATTATCATCTCCAATCGATCTGAAGAAATTTGAAATGGGGTATCAGAGTAACACGACCTTTTTGTTTTTCTATTTATTTAAGTTGTCAGCTAAGGGCCAACAGTAATTACTTGGTAAGCCATGAAGCATCTTATTGTAAGCAACAAAACTATTTACCTGTACTCTTGACTTTCTTCAACTAGTTGTTTGACATCTTCCCAATTCGAAGCTGCGCTTATTTCCTAATAGAAATAAATGTATCTTTAAAAGTCCTAGAGAATCCAGAGGAAAGGAAGTCACCATGGGTAAGATATACCTTGAAAGTGCGCAATAGATTGGTAAATTCTTCAGCAAAACGCTGAAGCTTTCTGGCCTCCTTTTCTTCCTTCTCCTTCGTTCTCTCAACCAAGTCATTATATATAAGCTGATAAACAATGGAAATAGACACATTAGAGCCTATTCCACTGAGCTCTAAATGAATACCTTCACAAATGTTTCTTGTACTCCAGAAAATTTTGTCAACGAGTATTAATTCACTAATATTTACATATATCTCGTCAACGGGTAGTTGCAAAAAACGCATTGAAGGTGCCTTCTGGGTTAAAGCATGCAAGGAACAACGATTTTAACTCACTGACTACAGATAGAAGCAGAAATTTGAACCAGTAGCTGACACATTTTTTTCCTATGTACACAATTTAGAAAACCATTCTGTCGAAATATTATCAGCTGAAAAATGTTCTTCTCACAACTGAGCCAGTACCTTTAAATTTATGTCTGAAATTGGTTCAGAACTTAAATCTTCTGAAAGAGCAGATTTAAAATCTTCAAACATCCATGAGGAGACCATTGAAACCTATTAAAGAAAGGGATTAGAGCAAAGTTTGGCATACGAATAAACATAATGCTAGCTAATTTTGACTTGCCTTCCTTGACTTCATAGACTCCTTCACGCGAGTCTTGTCCTCGTGATACTGTCCATTAAAAAAAACACAGGCTTAATTTCAGGACTGTCAGATTCTCGCAAAGCTAGAATAGTCCAGCAATTGAGAAGTACACTATATCTACACCAAATTACCTGCTTCTCTAATTCTTCCGAGATATCTTCGAACAAGTCTTTCGGAGTTGAGCCAGACGTATTAGATGCAACAGCTTGGTATTGAGGCAAGTCTCTTAACTGTACAAAAAAAAAGAACTGAGTAAAAGAATCCAACATGGAATATAATTTTTGCAACAAAGATCTAAATTGGTCGGGCACCTCAATGCAATATTCCAACCAGTACGTCTTGGCTGTAAGGATGCCAGCAGCAACATGTTCTTCCAATAGTGTACGAAATGCATCACGATTTTTTCTCTCAGCCCGCCTAACATGTTCCTATCTCCACATGAAAATGAAAGCATGAGTTTTAGATTTTAAAAGAACAAATATAAGTCACAATTCTTAACATCGACCTTACTTTCTCTACCCTCTTCTGCTCCTCTTCTTCCTTCTCCAGGTCATTTATGTAATCCTGGGATAACAAACCAATCAATCAAACGATCTATCTTTTCAATGGTGGCAACCTTAAGTTCTCAATAAAGTTACTTACCTCAAAACCAATCAAACGATCTATCTTTTCAAGACATGAGCATCTTTCATCATCCTCCAGTCTATCTTGAATTTTGCGCCATTGTGTAGTCGCCTTCAAAACGTATTATAAAAGGCATTATGGCAAGGTTTATGAAACAAAAATATTTGCAGGAATTAGTTACACAAACAGTGGTGTACTTTGATATAGTCACAGGTTTCAAGAAACTTCCGATATTCTGCCATCTTCTGCCGATGTTCTGCCACTGCCTTCTCTCTTTCCTGCAGATTAAAGGATCCATGATGTCAATCTAAATAATGAATTTGCCCATTCTACATAATAAAATAAAAATATCTATTCTCTAAAGAAGCTTCAAAAGCCATCATGCTGGCACATCAGATCTTTGCTCAGCCTCAATCTAAGTGACCACCAAAAGCACTAGGTTTGCCATAATTAAGTCATGTCTCTTCTCTTATGATCATTCCAAGGTAGAAAAGAACATTTCAAATGGTAATAACCAGCTATATTCTCGTTTCCATGGCGTGATTAGTTTAGAAGAGCAAAGTAGCTTATCAAACACCCGAACTGAAAAAGCCAGATAATTACCTTCCTCTCAAGTTCCACAATATAATTGTCAAAAAGATCTTCACGATCCCTTGGTCGATCAACAGCTTTGAAACGCTCATCATTTTCAAACAAACTCAGAGCTTTGCTGGTGGGGTAAAAGTTTCCATTAGCACATACGTCACACATACAATAAAGACAAGAACCAAGATTCTTTAATTAGCTGAAAGCCAAACCTCCATTTCAGGGATGAGGATAATTCTTCACACTCCTGCAGGTCAAAAATTTAACACTTAAATCAGCTCATCAACCACACTAAACGATGAAGCACCTACCTTCTGAATCCTTTTGTACATACCTCTAGCATCTTGACAAATTCTTCCCTCGCTTTCTTCTGTCTCCATCGCCTTTCCTCAGCTTCCACTTTTTTCCTTTGACCGAGATACTGGCACATCAGAATTGACAATCAGATGTAAGCATAAAGCTACTCAAAGTGGAAATCTACCAGTGAAAGTTGATTGCATCACAAATAAAGAAGACAATACATAATAGACAGGGTATTAAAATGCATTTGAACATCATTCCTAAGAATCAACAAAGTAAGCATAAAGCTACTCAAAGTGGAAATCTACCAGTGAAAGTTGATTGCATCACAATTAAAGAAGACAATACATAATAGACAGGGTATTAAAATGCATTTGAACATCATTCCTAAGAATCAACAAAGTATATACCTCGTTAAAAGCTTGTTTCCGCTCACCGAGTGTCCTCAAAGCACCATATCTTTTATCATGAACAATCTCTTTCGTTGTCTACAAGGAGATGATAATGTCGGTAATGGAGCCATTACATGGTCAGAGAGAGAAAGGATACATGCAATATCTATCTTTTAATGGCATCCACAGTACCTGTTCCCATGTCCAGTCGGACTGAACATTTACAGATTCCAAAAGAGACTTGAAAGCAGCTTTAGCCTCCTAGAGAAAAATAAACAACAATTCATAAATAGACGGATGGGTAAACGATTAGAATTTCACAAAAAAAATCATAAAGCTACAGATAACAGGAGGAGAAAATTAGGATAAGAAAATACCTGCTTAGTAGCATACATCATGGGTTCCTCAGCGTTTGATTTGTCACCAGCAGGTGTCATATTGGATTTCCCATTCACCGACACTTCCTTATTATCAACCTAACAAAAACATTCAATGCAATTAGAAAGCATACTAAGGTGTAACAGTTGACAAAAAAGATTCATGAAACCACCAAAACACCACACGTTCA